TGGAGTGGGGGGAGTCAGGGAAGGCAACCAGTAAAGGTGTGCATTAGCAGAGTTACCCGTTGGGGTCACTAAGGTTCAGCCTCCTGGAGGAACTCTCGGAGGTGGGTAGACTCTATGCCAATCCTGTGCCTCACCGGGTGGACTGTCGGCTCCCCAATACTTCATTACTTCATATATATATTTATTTATATTTCCTTATTTAAAAAATTTTTAGTCACCAGGCTGTACATTACATCCCCAGGACCTAGTTATCTTTTTTTTAAGATTTTATTTATTTGTTTGTTAGAGAGAGAGAGAGAGAGCACAAGCAGGGGGAGTGGGGGAGGGAGAAGCAGGCTCCCTACTGACCAGGGAGCCCGATGCGGAACTCCATCCCAGGACCCTGAGATCATGACCGGAGCTGAAGGCAGACACTTAACCAACTGAGCCACCCAGGCGCATCCCAGGACCTATTTATCTTATAACTGGCAGTTTGTGCCTTTGACCCCCTTCACCCATTTCCCCACCCCCTGCCTCTAGCAACCACCAGTCTGTTCTCTGTGACTATAAATTCAAGTGTTGCTGTTGTTTATTTAAGATTCCACATGTGAGTGAGATCATACAGTATTTGTCATTCTCTGTCTGATTTATTTTACTCAGTAATGACCTCAAGGTCCATCTATGTTGTAGCAAATGGCAAGATTTCCTTTTTTTTTTTTTTAAGTAGGCTCCACATCCAGTGTGGAGCCCAACACAGGGCTTGAACTCACAACCGTGAGACTGAGACCTGAGCTGAGATCAAGAGTCGGATGCTTAACTGACCTGAGCCACACGGGCACCCCAAGCTTTCCTTCCTTTTTTTATGGCCAAATAGCTTTCCACTGTGAGTATGTATATATCCATTCATCCACTGATGGACAGTTAGGTGGTTTCCCTGTCTTGAGTATGGTAATGAATGCTGCAGTAGCATGGGGGTGTGGATGCCTTTTCAAGATAGTGACTCTGTTTCCCTCAGATGAATATCCAGAAGTAAAACTGCTGGATCATACGGTAGTACTAATTTTAATTTTTTGAGGAACCACAATCCTGGTTTTCAAAGGGACTGTGCCAGTTTACATGCATATATATACGTTTAATTGAGACAAATTCACATAATATAAAGTTTACATTTTCTTAAAGATTTTATTTATTTGTCGGAGAGAGAGAGAGAGCACAAGCAGGCAGAGGGAAGCGGCAGGCAGAGGGAGAAGCAGACTCCTTGCTGAGCCAGGAGCCCGATGTGGGGCTTGATCCCAGGACTCCTGGATCACGACCTGAGCCGAGGGCAGACGTTTAACCAACTGAGCCACCCAGGTGTCCCTATAAAGTTTACATTTTGCCCTTTAACAATTTTCTAGTATATTCATAATCTTGTACCACCATCACCACTATTCGATTCTGGACTATTTCCATCACCCTCCCAAAAAACCTGGTACCTCCCAATCCCCTTTCCCTTCAGCCCCTGGCAACCCCTAACCTACTGTCTGTCTCGGTGGGTTTGCCCATTCTGGACATTTCCTGAAAATGGAATCACACAATCTGTGGCCTTTTGTGTCTGGCTTCTTTGTCTCAGCATAATGTTCAGAATGTTTCGCATAAAGGTTCATCCACGGGCGCCTGGGTGGCTCAGTCGTTTAAGCGTCTGCCTTCAGCTCGGGTCATGATCCCAAGGTCCTGGGGTCGGGCTCCTCGCTCGGCAGAAAGCCTGCTTCTCCCTCTCCCTCTGCCTGCCACAAGATACGACGTTTTGTTGACCCATCCGTCAGTCAATGGACATCTGGGGTGTTTCTTCCTTTTGGCCGTGGTGAGTCATGCTGCCCTGCACATTCATGTACAAGCATTGGTATGAACATTTTTTCAATTCTTTTGGGAATACACTTAGAAGTAGAATTGCTGGGTCATATGATAATTCCAAGTGGAACTTTTGGAGGAACTGCTAGACTGTTTTTTCAAAGATTTTTACTTAACAGAGAGAGAGAGAGAGAGCACAAGCAGGCAGAGGGAGAGGGAGAAGCAGGCTCCCCGCTGAGCAGGGAGCCTGACGCAGGACTGGATCCCAGGACCCCGGGATCACGACCTGAGCCGAAGGCAGATGCTTCACGGACTGAGCCACCCAGGCGCCCCTAGACTGTTTCCCACAGCAGCTGTACCATTTTACATTCCTACCAGCACCGTACAAGCATGCAAGACTTCCAATTTCTCCACATCTGCGTCAATGCCGATTTTCTGTTATATGATTACAACTCTTATCGCCATCCTAGCGGGTCGTATGTCATCGTGGTCCCCCCCCCCCACAGTCCTTCTGACCTGCCCCGCAGACAAGCCCAGCACAGCCCTGCAGTGGAGGCAGCTGGAGGGGAGTGTGCAGGACAGCAGGTGTCAAGGATGCTGAGAGCCCCTGCTGGGAGCGTGACCTCACGCAAACCACTTCCCCTCGAGGAAACCACTTCTCGAAGACCTCAGTTGAAGAATGGGATGGGTAACACAGACCTGAAAGGCTGGATGTGAGATTTCACTAACCTGGTTTGTGTGCGGTGCTTGGCAAGCCAGAGCGAGAGCGGGTAGCAGTTGTCCCGGTTGGTCTGTTTCACTAGGACCCGGCGCTGAGAATCTCCCCCTCAAACTTCCTCAGTGGAAATACGGGCTTCCTCTGCGTTCCCACAGATCTGGTTCATGCTGGTATCACGGTTCATCCTAGCCACCCTGGGGGGTAAAGCAGAAATTCATGTTGTTTATGCGTCAGTCGAAACAGAGCTTTGCTTCTCCTTCCGCCCCGTTTCTTCTCTGCTGGAATCGCACCCCAGCCCCTGGCTGAGAAGTCTGCCCGGGACTCAGGCCCAAGTCAGTACCATATTCCAGTCTCTGAACTTGACTTGATGTCGGAGCGGAGCCGCGGGTCAGGCCTCACCGGGCTGGAGGCCTCGGTGAGGAAGAAGGGCCTGGTCTCACTGCTGGTGGCCTTCTTTCTGTCTGCCTCCCCTCCTCTCACTGGGGGGTCCCTCCTGCCCAGGTGCGGGGAGGAGGGCACGGGGAACCGGGCTGTGCCTCCCGGGCTGGGGGCTTTGGATGGCCCAGCAGTGAGTTAAGGTGGCACCCCTGAGGGATTTGATGGGTATGTGTTTTGGGGGGCTCTGAGGCTTGAGACCCCTTGGTTGGAGAGGGGGCATCTTTGGTCTGGGTCGGGGCTCTTCCCTCAGCCCCACCCAGGGGCCCTCCATGCTGACCACCAGTAAGCAGACCCCTTGGCCCCAACATCAGAGCCAGGTGTCCCTCCGAGTGGGATCCCAGCCCCAGAGGCTCGCTTTTGCTTTCACTTTTTTTTTTAATATTTATTTATTTATTTTGAGAGAGAGAGAGAGAGAGAGTCCGTGAGGGGAGGGGGAGGGTTAGAGGGAGAAGCAGACTCCCCGCTGAGCAGGGAGCCCGACGCGGGACTCGATCCCGAGACTCCAGGATCATGACCTGAGCCGAAGGCAGTCGCTCAACCAACTGAGCCACCCAGGCGCCCCTGCTTTCGCTTTCTTAAGCCAGATTCAACCCGAGAGTCCTGGGTCTCCTGCCTTGAACAGCCGACTGCGAAGTGCCCTCCCTCTCTGGTCTCTGTCTGGGTCAGTCCGCGTCCCAAGCGGGTGGGAGAAGGAAGGACTTGTGGGTAGCAACCACTCCCCTGAAGAAATGTCTTCACTCATCTCTCTCTTTTTAAAAAGGCTCATTATAGGCGCCTGGGTGGCTCAATGGGTTAAGCAACTGCCTTCGGCTCAGGTCATGATCCCAGGGTCCTGGGATCGAGCCCCGCATCGGGCTCCCTGCTCAGCGGGAAGCCTGTTTCTCCCTCTCCCACTCTCCCTGCTTGTGTTCTCTCTCTCGCTGTGTCTCTGTCAAATAAATAAAATCTTAAAAAAAAAAAGAAAAAAAGATTTATTCGAGAGCGCGCGCATGCTCCTCAGTGGGGGAGGGGCAGAGGGAGGGGGGAGAACCTCCAGCAGACTCCCTGCTGAACGCAGAGCTGACACACGACTCCACCCCAGGACCCTGAGATCATGACCTGAGCCGACATCAAGAGTCGGATGCTTAGCTGACTGAGCCACCCAGGTGCCCGTCAGATCATTTTTTTTCTAATGCCTTTTATCCTCCTTGGTCTGGCTGCGGGTTTCTAGTATGGTGCAACAGGTTCCGACACATCTCTCACATTTCTCCGGGCAGTCTGTGGGAGCAGGGGGTTGGCCTTGCTGTTTCCCGACCACTCTGAGGTAGACAACTAAGCAGCCTTACTTCCAGCTACGACGATCTAGTCTAGGCGCTGTCAGAACAGCTGGGTCTTCTCTAAGCCTCGTGCCCCCATGTGGCCAGGGAGAGGCGCAGGGAGAGGTAAGGAAGAGTTTGGCTTTAGCCCAAGCGGCATTTCCCACACACCCTCTGCACCCCTTCTTACCACAGGCTCCAAATGGCTTTTTTACTTAGTCAAAGCTGGTGCTTTAAGGATCAAAGTTTGTATCCATGAGGATTTTCAAAGAATGTTCTGTGAGCTCTGAAGGCACTCCCCAGAGATGCATTCCAGACATGTTTTTGGCAAGGGGCAGCCTAGCCCATGGGTGGTCACTGTGGCCCCCTGGCCTTGGCTAAACGGACACATGCAGATGTCAGTTCTGGCTGACTTTGAGGAAACTGACCACATTACAGTCTGTGTTAGGACTGTTACAAAAAAATTAGCTTGGGGGAGCAGACAACAGCAGCAGACTCCAGAATTAGGATACCAGTTTGGTGGGCTTTTTTTTTTTTTTTTGAGATTTTATTTATTTGAGAGAGAGAATGAGATAGAGAGCGAGAGCATGAGAGGGGGAGGGTCCGAGGGAGAAGCAGACTCCCCGCCGAGCAGGGAGCCCGATGCGGGTCTCCATCCCGGGACTCCAGGATCATGACCTGAGCCGAAGGCATTCACTTAACCAACTGAGCCACCCAGGCGCCCCAGTCCGGTGTTTTTTAAAAAAAAATGTGTTTATTTGCTCATTTACTGACCACAGGGATTCAGACTCTGCTTAGGGGAAATCATGATGATGAAAGCTCAGGTTTACACTTCCTATTTGTAGAATCAAATCGGGATGTGAATTCTCGGGTACAGTGCTGGGCAGTGGGGGAGGCACTGGGAGCCGGTTCCTATGGACAGCTAGCTAGGCCCTCCTCTGCATGCTCCTGGAGCCTGACTCGTCCTGCTGAAGCTGACTTTGGGTCACTGCTATAAACAGCCCTGAGGCTGCCCCCTGAAGAGAGAGGTACCCAGCAGCACCCAGCACTGAGGAAGAGCTTGACTTGCCAAGTGGAATTATTTACAAAATGGCAATGAACTGTTTTGTTTCTCTTTTTTGATTAAAAAACAAGATTCACCTTAAAAATGAAAGTGAAAATTGGGGCCAGAGTTCGGCGCTCGGCCGCTCTGTGCGCAGCCGCACTGGGATGAGGGGGGGTCCAGGCGGCGCCGCTCTGCCCCCACAGGGTGGGCACGAGACTCCCGAGCCCGCAGGGGGCTTGGCCCGGCTCAGCGCAGGCACCCGGCTCGGCGGGGCCCAGGAAGAGGGCGGCTGACGGGCCCCAAAGGGCAGAGGACTGGGGCTCAGGGGAAGTCGCGGTAGGGCAGGCGGAAGGGGTAGAGGGGCGTGTAACGCGAGTCATGCCAGAGCAGCTTCTCCTCCAGGAAGGCGACGGTCTGCAGGGTCAGGACCAGGGTCTGGTGTTTGAGCATGCTGTACGCGTTCAGGCCTAGGGGTGGAGATGCAGTCCAGGCTGGGCTGTCTACCACCTCTGGGGCCCCCTTCCCCCGCCCCGAGGAAGCAACCCCCTCTCCGTATTGCCCTACTCTAGAAGACACTGTGGTGCGGCATGGGCTCATGGATCTTGCAGGCTAGGCTCAAACCCTGGCCCAGCTGCTCACTGATGGCAAGACCCCGGGCGAGGGACGGTCCTCGGCTCAGTCCCTGATTGAGAGCCTCCTGCGTGCCTGGCTCTGCCCTGCGCTGGGGCTGTGATCCCCACCTCCCTCTCCAGCGGGCCGGACAGACCCTCAGCAGAGCAGAGGCATGAATGTACTGCGGGAGGCCTGTGGCTGCAGTTAGTGAGCGAGCGGGACTGGAGGCGGCGGCCAGCGCAGGGAGAGGATGGGGCAGGTTGTGCAGGATCTTGCGGGCCTCGGGGAGAACTTGGCCCTTGCCCCAGAGGGAGGTGGGAAACGCAGAGGGCTGTGGGCAGAGGAGGGCCGCGCTGAGACTCGGCTGCGCACAGGCGCCCTCTGGTGGCCGTGGTGGGGGAGAACAGGCTGCAGAATAGAGCAGGAGCCAGGGACGGGGCCGGAAGGACACGGGGGTGCTGGGGGGTAAGAAGTGGTGGAATCCCCCATATTAAAGTCAACGCCGACGGGGTGAGCTAAGAGACGAGTGGAGGGTGACAGCATGGTCTGGGGCCTGAGCCACAGGAAGGAAGGAGTTCTTAGGTGCGAAGGTGCCCGTGAGACCCCCAAGTGCAGCCATGCCATCAGGGAGACCGTGCAAGAGCTCTAGGGACTGATTAGTCAATGTGGTGATGGGTGTGACATGCCCAAGCCAGACTGGATCCCACCTCCCAGCCTCTCAGAGGGAGGAGCCAGATGAGGACAGTCAGCAGCCCCTGCACTCACTCGGAGCCCCTCACTGAGCCCCGAGCTTGGACAGAGCCGTCCTTCCAGAATGACATCTTCCTGATGCTCCGTTCGGGCAAGCTGAGGGCTGGGTTGAGGAGGTGGCAGGGATAGACTTTTAACTGCCCATGGACTACTGGGGACCTGGGGGGGAGGACCGGGGCCCTCTGCTCACCGACAGCCGGGATCAGGTTGAAGGTCTTCAGGCCGGAGGTGGCTGCTACGACATTCTGAGACATGTCCTCGTGGGCTCTGAAATGGAGGCCAGGAGGTGAGCACCGCAGAGGACGGCCCCCCAGCGCCCCCAGCCCCGCTCTGCCCCACACCCTCACAAGTCCACAAGGAGCACAGAGTCCCCCCAGCGGCGGTAGCGGGCCAGCTCGGTCAGGTACTGGGGGTCGGAGGTCGGCAGCTCCAGGGAGTCTACAACGTGCAGGTCATCCTATCAGGAAGAAAGGACAGTCTGAGCCCCCAAGGGCCCCCGAGGAGCTGCCTGAGCCCTCCAGCCCCCACAGCCCACACCCCCGGCCGCCGGCAGCTCCTGGCGGGGATCAGGCCCGTACCTGGGCCAGCTTGACGGTCAGCGCCACCTTGAGGCCCTGCACCCGCACTTTCATGGGCAGCATGTAGTAGTAGCTCGTAGGGCCCCGGGGGCCATGGGCAATGCCTCCTGCAGAGACAGAGGTGTGTGGACAGGTGAGGACCCCAGCTGGGCGTAGAGGACAGAAATTTGTCACAGTGGCCGGTGTAGGGAGGCTGCCAGCAGGCAAACCGAATCAGCAAAGAGGACAGGGCCTCGAGGAGGGAAAGAGAGGGGACACTGGATCCAGCATTGCCCGGGACAGGTGACTCTGCCTCACTGGGCCTCGATTTCCTCAGCTGTCAAACCCTGAGTGAGGACCCTCTACCTGTGTGTCCACCCTCTGCTGGGCCCTAGGGGCGCAGCAGGGAACAAGATAGGCGGACCCCTGCCCTCCTGTCATTCACATTCAGAGGTTCAACTGCAGAGGAAATCAGGGCTGTCTTTTGGGGGCAGCACAAGGAGTTGTTGGGGGCAGGGGACCCACAGGAGGTCAGGGAGGGCTTCCTGGAAGAGGCACAGCCCAAACACATGCTAAGGATGCAAGAGTCGGCCAGGCAAATGGGAGCTGACACCGAATCAGTCGTCTGGTCAGAGAAGATGTGGAGGAACAAGGGGGGCCTGTAGGCACCACTGCCTGGAATGCCAAGTGAGGAGCCCAGACTTCCCAAAAGGGCTGCGGGAACCACCGGGGGGCTTAGGAAAAGCACTCTGGGTGCTGTGTGCAGGGTGGTCCAGGAGAGGTATGACGGGGAGTCGGGGCTAAGAGGGGCTGTGGCCATGGTCTGATGAGAGGCTAAGGCCAGAGCTGACAGGGAGCTGGGAAAGTGGCCGACTCTCTGATCTCTGACCCGCACACGGGTCGTGAGGTCTGCAGGCTGGAGTCCTGCTGCCCCCGCCCAGGTGGAAGGAATGGGACTGACAGTTATCACACCAGATGGGTGTGAAGGTGTCCCCAGGGCCCCTCCCTCCCTGCCCCGCTCACCTCCTCGCCAGATCGGGGAGCGGATGCTGCCATGCCTGGAACGCCCACTGCCTTTCTGTGGCCAAGGCTTCCGGCCTCCACCCTGCACCTCGGCCCTAGTCTTGGTCTTGGCATAGCTCTGCGGGTGCAAAGGGAGGAGACAGACGGTCAGGTTCCCAAGGCAGACACTGTCACGGCTGAGAGGGCCCGGGCCTGGGAAAACAGCAGTGAGCTGGCCAGTAGGGGCTCGCCACTGGGGAGGTACAGAGATCAGGGATCCCTCGGGACAAACACACAGCACTTGGGGAGGGAGAAGAAGGATAAAGAAATCGAAAGTCCCCTCGTCTGCTCCAGAACGTCAGCCTCAGAAAGGCAGGGGCTCTGCTGCCTGGCACACGGTAGGCACTCGGCATTTTTTGTATGATTTTAATGTGGTGGCAACCGAAAGGAAGGTGTGGCATGGGGAAACGTGTGCAGGGGCTAGAGAACATCAGGGAGAGGTATGGGGTGGGGAGATGACAAGGGACTTCCATGGTGAGCTAGGGAGGGTGTGAATAGGGGAAGGACTCACTGGAATTCTGAGGTAAGCAGATGGGAAGCAGAGAGCCCCGGACTGGTAATGGTTCTTCAACGCACTTGGCAAAAAAAAGTCCAAACTACTCAGCACTGCTCCTGCTGACCTCTGTGGCCACACTAGGCTCCATGTTGTCCCTGCCGCAGGACCTTTGCATGTGCAGTTCCCACTACCTCTACCCTAGCACCACTGCCCCCTTTACTTAGTCAGCACCTACTATACACCGAGGCTAAATGTCTCCTTTTCTCTGGGACAACTTCCCTAGTCATATATTTACAGGCTTGCCTACTTGATTCATGTTCACCTCTGTAACTAGACTACGAGCTTCCCAAGGGCAGGGATCTTGCCCGCCTTGTCCACTAGCACCATGCCTAATGCACAGTGGGTGTTCAGAAAACACCTGGCACGTCACCCATCAGTGAATGGTTCAGAAGAGAGAAGGTAAGGCCTGAGCCTGACAATCCAGAGAAGACAAACCGAGGAGCTTCCCTGCCTCCTTCCACCAACCTCCCCGACTTGGGCACTCACAATTCTCTTAAAGTTCTTCTGCCAGATGGCAACCTGGTGCAAGATATCCAACCTATGGAGAAAGAAGAGGCCGTGAGAGGCCCACTACCTCCAGTTAAAGCCCTCCCCACCTCACCAGTTGAAAACAGGGGCTCCTCCCATCCAGCTCCAGGGCCCTGGGTGATCTGCCCTCACCCCTCTCTGCTCCATCTCATACCACTGCCAGGCCCACTCCATTTCCATTCTGTGAAATGGGGTCCAGCCTCCATGCCTTTGACCTCATTGTTCCCTCTGCCTGAAACACTCTTCCCCTGGCTGGTTCCTCCTCAGCCCGTAAGTCTCAGCCCCAAACAACTCTCCGAGAGGAGCCTCCTTGCTAAGAGGAGAGCCACCACTTCCTCCTTCTCACAGTACCTTACTCTTTTCCTACCATTACAACTTACTCCTTGCCACCTTCTTTATGGACTGGTTTGCCTCTCCAGCCCTGCACTATCCTCCTATTCGGTAGACACTGGCCAGATGTGTGAACCCCTGACATGTGGCCAGTGCCCCATGTTGAAATGACACTGTTTTAGATATCTCAGGTTAATAAAATAGATTGTTTCTTCCTTTTTTTTTTTTTTTAAACGTGGCTACTAGCAAAATGTAAATTATACACGTGACTCACATTAGGTGGTTACATTGGACCTGACCGCCGGGGTAGCTTGCCCGGGGTTGGCAAGCTACTATGGCTAGTAGGCCAAACCTGGCCTGCTGCCTGTCTCTGTAAATATGTTTCACTGGGACACAACCCTGCTTTTGTACTACATCAGCACAGAGGAGTAGTTGCCATGGCAACATGAAAGCCTGCAAACCCTAAAATATTTACTCCCTGGCCCTTTACAGAAAAAGGTTTGCAGATCCCTGATCTAGACTGTAAGCAACATCAGCAACCTTGGTACTCATTCACTGCTGTATTCCCAACACCCAGAACGGAACCTGGCATATAGCGGACACTTCGTCAGTATTTACAGAATACACAAAATACGCCGTTTTTAATTTCTTTTCTCACTCTCTAGTAGATTGGGACTCTAAAAGCAAGGGGCAAACCATGCCAAAATCAGTAATAGTAATAAATTAACAGCACTTATTATGTGCCAGATACAATGCACTTGAGGGGCATCATACGCCTCGGTAAGCCGATAAGCCAGCCCAAGGAGTTGGCCCGCGTAAGGTTGAGATCCTGACTCTAAAGCTTACAAGCTGTGTGACCTTGAGCAAATTTCTTAACCTGTCTGTGCTCAGTTTCTTTATCTGCAAAGCAAGAATAACTGAACCCTCTCCTAGGGTTGCTATAAGGATCTACTTAACCAAAATGCCAATAGGCAATGCCAGGGCTTGACCAGTGTTAGTGCTTATTTTCGCGAAAGTCGGTAACAGCATATCATAATTGACATTTCTATAGAACTTATTAGGCGCCAGAATTAACTCATTTCATCATCACAGCAACCTCTCGAGGTTTGACAGAATGGGGACACTGAAACACAAGCGGGAAGGCAGGATTTGAACTCAGTCACTGAAGCTCCGGAGTTTTGCGTCCTTAACTCTTTGAGGATGTTAACTCTTAGATCTCAAACTTACATAACCCAGTAGCAGGGAAAACCATCATCCCCTTTTGGCAGGTAAAGAAGCTGAGGCTCAAGCCCAGGTCATCCTGATTCCTAAAGCCCCGCTCCTCCTCCCTCGGGCACTCAGTGCACCATTTCACTCCCACTCACCTGGGCGCTGTGGAGAAAACTTCGGGGTGCAGCTCGGCCAGACCCACGCGCTCCTGCTCGTAGCCGCGCAGGGACTCCACCCAGGCCTGCACCGGACGCCGGGGCGCGGGTACCGGGAGCTCGCACCTGCGCAGCACGGGCACCTGGGGACCTGAAGCGATTGGGAGGTCAGGGGTCAGGGCCGAGCGCCAGGGCTCCCGGTTGCCGCCCCTCCTGGAGCGACCCCGGCAGCCTCACCCGCGCTAGCTACTGACTCTGGCTTCGCCGCCTGGGGTACTGCCTCTTCCGCCAGCGCGTTCAAGCCCTGTAAACGGTGGACGAGAGTGAGAAACGACACCCGGAACCTCCAGCCTTTGTCCTCCGGTCCCGTCCCCAGCGCCCCGCCTCACCCGGCAGCCCGTGGGCCGAAGCCAGGCCCGCGCCCCGGCCCGTACTAGCTGCAGCATTGCGGCGCAGCTCCCCACGCGGAGAGGTCAAGGCTCCTTCTGGATGTGCGCGACGCCCAGCGATGACATCACGCCCGCGACACCGCCCACCCCGCTCGGGTCGGCGTTGGAAAGCTGAGTGCAAGAGGGAAGGCGGCGGGGCCTGGCCCAGCGTGCCTTCATCTCCGCCCCGGGACTAACCCCCAGGCTCCAGTTTTCACGCCTGGCCTACGGGACCCCCTGCGACACCTGGAAACACGCGACCTGGCAGCAAGAAGCCGCGCCCCTTCGGTAGGCCCTGCTCTTTTTCCTGGGTCCCGCCCCCAGAAAGGCGCGCTCCTCGTTCAGCCAATGAGCGTTAAGCCTGGCAAAGTGGCCCGCCTATGGCTGGGCGGTTCTGGGGCGGGCACTAAGAGAATATGACCAACACCTGTTACGCTTTTGGTGTCGGTCACGCCCCCCATGCCCCGCCCCCGCCCCCATCTAGCCTCCTAGACCCTCCGCGCGGGTTTTTCAGTTTCCAGTGAAGTGGTTTTGTGTGTTTGTTTACGTGCAGGGCCTCATCTCCCGCAGAAAACCCTTAGTATTGAGCCTGTGGGACCGTGCCTCTCAGATTCCCCAAGGCAGAGGGTAAGTTCCCCATCAAACCACAGATTACGTCTGTGTCTTCTCCGCCTCCTAGACAGGGTCCCGTCCCCTCCCAGAACTCTCTCCGAAAACACAGCAAGGTGGGGGAGTCCGCAGACCCCGGATTTCCTTCCTCGTTGCGCACCCTTACAACTGAAATCTAAATATTCATTTTGAGGCACTTTGCCAGCTTCCCCGCGAGGCCTCCAGAGGGCGTCATGAACACATAGCAGCCTTCGCTGCCTCGCCGAGCCTGATCACCTGGCTGGCCTAACGTGGTCTGGGAGCCAACCTCAGTTTCCTCATTTGGAAAATGGAGAGGTCATGAGACCTCAATGAAATGAAGTCATGCCTAGCACAAAGTGAACATTTAATGGTATTATTATTATTATTATTATTATTATTATTATTATTATTGAGGGTGAATTTTGTCATCAATACAAGTCAAGAGCCAAGGCAGGGATGGGGTGGATCCTGGAGGACTTGAATACCTACTAAAGATGGGGGGGCCTTTTTTTTTTTTTTTGCATCTGATATATAACATGGATATTTTTGTGTAGTATTAATAAAAATTTACAATGTATTTCATTGGGTATTCTATCCCTGCTAGAATAATTGTGGATGGGTATTTAAAACTCCACCCACTCTGCAATTTAGAAAGGTTGTATGTTGTAGAGTTTTATTTATTCATTTTATGTTTGTGTAGGTAATTCACACGCCAGGTAAAGAAAATTTCAACAAGTACAAAAGTATAAACTAGAGTGAAGTGTCTCCTCCAATCTCTGATCCTGTCCCTCCCTGTTCCCCTCCCAAAAGCCACCACCAGAACCAGCTATGTGTCTCCTCCCAGAACCAGTTTATGATTTATAGGCAGATTTACAAGTCTGTCCTGTGCCAGGAAGTTTGGATATTATGTAGCAAATGATGAAACAGAACTTGCTTAATGATTTATTAGGCATCTACTGGTACTGAGTAGGTAAATCCAGCAGACAACGTTGAGATACAGTGCAGTGCAGAAGGTTGAGGAATCAGAATAGGGGAGAGGGGACGCCTGGGTGGCTCAGTTGGTTAAGCGTCTGCCTTCAGCTCAGGTCAGGATCGCAGCGTCCTGAGATTGAGCCCCACATCGGAGCCCTTGCTCAGCGGGGATCCTCCTTCTCCCTCTGCCTGCTGCTCCCCAGGTTCTCCCTCTGCCTGCTGCTCCCCCAGCTTGTGCTCACTAGCACTAAGAGAATATGCTCTCTCTCTGACAATAGATAAATAAAATCCTAATAATAATAATAAGGGAAGGGAGGCCTACAGTGTATGTGGGAGCCCAGGGGAAGAACTCTTAACCCCTGGAGGCAGGGGTCTTAGAGGTGACTTCCCTGAAGCTGTAACTTGAAGGTCCATCAGGAGTTTGTCCAGAGGAGAAAAGGTGTTCCAGGCTGAAAGAACAGAGTTGCAAAGATCAGAAGTGGGGAGAGAGCGGCAGGAGTTAGGGGTGGCTGGACCTTCCTAATGGCAACTCATTCATTTAAATTGAACCCACCTCAGGGCCTTTGCACTGTTGTTTCTTCTGCCTGGAACATACTTTCCCCAGAGCTCCACATGGCTCTATCTCTTACCTCCTTCAATTCTTTGCTCAAATGTCACCTCCTCCAAGAAGCTTGTCCTGACCACCCTCTTCAAAATTGCAATCCCCACTCCCGGCCCTTCTGACTCACTTATCCTGTCTTTTTTTTTTCCCAATCAGTATTTATCTTCTTTTTTTCTTTTTAAAGATTTTATTCGGGGCACCTGGGTGGCTCAGTCGTTAAGCGTCTGCCTTCGGCTCAGGTCATGATCCCAGGGTCCTGGGATCGAGCCCCGCATCGGGCTCCCTGCTCTGCGGGAAGCCTGCTTCTCCCTCTCCCACTCCCCCTGCTTGTGTTCCCTCTCTCGCTGTGTCTCTGTCAAATAAATAAATAAAATCTTTTTTTTAAAGATTTTATTTATTTGAGAAAGAGAGAATGAGAGATAGAGAGCACGAGAGGGAAGAGGGTCAGCGGGAGAAGCAGACTCCCTGCTGAGCAGGGAGCCCGATGTGGGACTCGATCCCGGGACTCCAGGATCATGACCTGAGCCGAAGGCAGTCGCTTAACCAACTGAGCCACCCAGGCGCCCATAAATAAATAAAATCTTTTAAAAAAAAGATTGTATTCATTTATTTTTGAGAGAGAAAGAGAGAATGAGCACGAGCAGGGGGAGGGGCAGAGGGAGAAGCAGACTCCCCGCACCGAGCAGGGAGCCCGATGCGGGACTGGATCCCAGGACCCTGGGATCACGACCGGAGCCGAAGGCAGATGCTCAGTGGACTGAGCCACCCAGGCGCCTCAGTATCTACCTTCTAACATCCTATGTAATTTCCTTGTTTTTGATGCTTTTTGTCTGTCTCCCCCATTAGAATGTAAACTCCCCCAGAACAGAAATTTTGCTGTCTCCTTCCCTGCTGTAGCTCCAGCACCCAGGATAGTGGCTGTAACACAGTAGGGGCTCAATACATGTTTCTTTGGGGCGCCTGGGTGGCTCAGTCATTGGGCATCTGCCTTCGGCTCAGGTCGTGATCCCAGGGTCCTGGGATCGAGCCCCGAGTCGGGCTCCCTGCTCATTGGGAAGCCTGCTTCTCCCTCTCCCACTCCCCCTGCTTGTGTTCCCTCTCTCACTGTGTCTCTGTCAAATAAATAAATAAAATCTTTAAAAAAAAAATACATGTTTCTTGAGTGAATTCCTTTGCTCATCATCCTGTTGCAGGGGTATTACCAGAGACAGAGGAAGCCCTCCCTTTGTCTCCTGGGTCTCAGATCTCTATCCCCTTGATGTCACGGACACATAAGTTACCAAAAAAATGATTATTTGCCCAACAACACTCTAGTCGCAGAGACACATGTTCAAATCTAGGGGGCGCCGCTAAGTGGCTGGGTATCCCTAGACAACTGGTTAGCTCTTTCAGAGTCTGGTCTCCTTTTAGGTGTTAAGTGGGACATACACGAACCCTCCCCTCCTGAGCTGAGTGAAGGATTAGAGTTCTCTTTTCCTTCCATCTCCACTCCCCACAGTCTTTTTCCATCCGCTAGAAGGAGCCTGTAAACACCTGAGTCAGATCATGTCCCTCCTCTGCTCACACCCCTCGGTGCCCCTCATTTCACTTTGAGCAAAAGCCAAAGTCTTCATTGTAGCCCACAAGGCCTTGCAGGGCCTGTCCTCGCCTCCTCCCACCTTCCCCCTTTATTACTCTGTGGTTTAGGCCACACTGGTCTTCTCACCAGAACTCATCAATCCCATGTCAGCCTCAGGGCCTTTGCACTAGACCTCTCTCCCTTAAATATCTGCATGACTCACTCCCTCACCTCCTTCAGGTCTTTACTCAAATGACACCTTCTCAGGTGACAGTGGGTCTAAAGTCACTGTTCCCTTCCTAACCCACATTCTTCATATGCCTTCCCAGTATCATTGTTTCCAGCACGTTTACCACATTCTAACAGATGATGTCATTCTTACTTATTTTGATTTTTTTTTAAGATTTCATTTATTTGACAGAGAGAGAGCTCTCTCTGTAGGCAGAGAGGCAGGCAGAGGGAGAAGGAGAAGCAGGTTCCCCACTGAGCAGAGAGCCTGAGCAGGGCTCGATCCCAGGACCCTGGGATCATGACCTGAGCCGAAGGCAGACGCTTAACCAACTGAGCCACCCAGGTGCCCCTATTTTGATTCTTGACGGCCTCTTCCAGTAGAACATCAGCTCCTGGAGGATGGGGTCTTTATTGCTTGCTGGGCCCACTTGCTAAGAAGGGTGCCAGGCATCCGGTAGGTTCTCAGTACCTAGTAATTGAACTAATGGGATGTAGAGAAAGAAATTTGCATAGGACTCCTCTACCAGCTATTGATTGTGAGCAAGCCTTAATGAAAGGGAGGTAATGACCTTGAGACCTGCATACAGAAAGGATCAAAGTTTGACCATTTTGGTCCAAGCCAGGGTGGAGGTCAAAGGTTGATGTGTCTGGCCCTCTCCTGTGGATCAAAGGCTCAACTGCAGGTGACCTCTGTCCCCGGTGGTGTGTGGCAAATGTCAGCCTTGCAGCCCAGAGATCTCTGCCGACCATGGGCATGACAGCGATTTAAGGAGCAGACATCGGAAGCTGGAGGACCCCCCCAACGTCTGGCCCTTTCTAGTCCCGCATCCCTGTGCATGGGTTTTCACAAAGTCCAGAGGTCAAGGATGGAATATGGGGGACAACCCTCGAATAGGAAGGTACAGGGCGTGGGAGCAGGCTTGATCAGAGGCCCCGACCTACCAGGGAGAACTGCTCCCTCATCACTGACAGAACATCTGCTGTGTGTTTGTTTGCAGCTCTGTTTGTGGGTGACCGCCAAGCGTGAGGACGAGGAGTCTCCCATTGCAGCAGCCCCCAGGGCCCTGGGGGTGGGCCTGATTTGCATAGACATTTCATTCCTTTTAGTTCCTTTCAGTCCGGCTCAGATGGGAAATAGAGCAGAAAAAAGGGCTTGAACCCCTTGGGGCAGGGCACATGGGCTCCCCAGGCCTCAGTTTCCTCCTCTGTAAAATGGTAGTATAATTACCCCACCCTCACATGGTTTGTGTCTGCCTTGGGCCTATGTACCTTCAGAAGATTCATTCCCTGCTCTGCCCTGCC